TTGTTAGAGAAAAGAGTCCTCTTGTCTCTCCAGAATTTCTGATCCTCTAGGAGTCAAGTGGCTTTAAAGCCTCCTTCATGGTCGGCTGATGCAAAACACCTACATATCTGAAATGCTTTTCTCCAGAAGAAGGGATTCATGAAGATTCTTCTGTAGCAGGAGCATCTACAAGACCTTGAATTGCTAGAGTATATTACAACATTTCCAATTTTTCACAAGAAGGAATATCCCATCTTTCTAAAAAAATACCAGAAAACAATTCAAAAGTAAGATTTATACTTAGTACTTTCCCTGAGTATTTCATGTTTGGTGGGTTGGTTTTTCCTCTTGTACAAGTTCATGAAAATGAAAGTTCCATTTTAAGTGATATTCAATAGAGCACTAAGACAGTTTTATTGTTACGCGTTCACCTATTCTTTAACAGTGAATTCTTTTCATCCTGGAACTGATGATGCCTGAAATTTCTGCTCATTTTGATTTTCTGCCTAGCAAGAAAAGGCATTCTTTAGCTAATAGGAATGGCTTATCATTGATGATAAACAATGGGTACAAATCACATTTAAAGGTGGTCAATCTGCCATTGTCTAAATCAGTTTTCTCAAACCTGCAATCTTCCCTCTGTCTTACGATTTCAGCCACAATCTACATACACACTTTCAGTTATGGAAAGTTCTTAATTCAAATGAAATCAATTAATACTGACCTAACTCTTACTGACCTCTTATTATTGACAGAATTCATCAAATAATAAACAAGAAAATTATAAAAGTTTAGTCCAGCCAAATCAAACGTCTGCCCTATCTTCAAGATGGCCATATTTAAATTCTGGCATTGAAGATTCAGACAAATTTATTCAGAGAAACGATCCTAGAATCATTGAGTTATTCACTAATATGACGTAATCGTGCCCAAAGTCCACATGGCACTAAATTAAATGCATGCTGTCCATTTCCTGTTTCCAAGGACTTGATCCAACCTACTACTTCTAGGGTAAGGAAACAGGATGTAGATTTCAGGGGTAACACAGCTATTTCATTGTTAAAAAATGTTAAGAAGATTTGTTTAATTATTTATTTAACTGTCCTCTTATGC